TCACGCATAATTAGATAATATTTTATTCATTAACCAGAAGAAAATCTTACTCTTTCTAAGATCGATTGAATTGGAAAAGGCTTCAATTGATTACGTCTATACTCTTTTTAATTTGCATATACCTTTAAGGCCAAATATGTGATACTAAATTTCAGGTCTCTTTTAACTAAGAATATGATTACCGTTTATTATCTATCAAATGGTTCATTTTTCAATATTTTTTTTTATTGTTTCATGCGGGTTGGATGAAGGTTTCAAATTCAAATTCTGACTTCATATGATTATAAATATTACTACCATGTGAATACTATAACTAACATCAGTGCTATAGTATCTACCTACCTACCAACCTATCTATCTATCCATATATATATATATATATACATATATATATATATATATATATATATATATATATATATATGGAGAGAGAGAGAGAGAGAACAACAGCACCATTATTAATATTTAAAAGTCAAGGAACAAAAATCATGATTAGAACAACAACCAGATTAAACTTAATGTAAACTGATAATATTTTCCAAAAAAAAGAATGTGACTTTGAACACAAAAAAAATTCAACGGAATTGTTTAAGATTTACTATCGAATAATAATCTAAACTACCTTTAATCATTATAGTATTTAGATAATAAATAAAGACAATTCAACTAATATAACTTATGTACATAGAAACAAGAAATAAAGTGTTTCTTATATTCAGAGAGGGGTTTTAAGGAGAATGTAAAAAATTAATAATTGAATTTATAAGTCAATTGAAACTAGACCATCATAGAAAACCTGGAAGCACTAGACGGCCATTTTATCTTAGTATGGAACTTATCAGTAGTGTTCATTCACAGTTCCACCCCGCGAGATCCGAACTCAGAACCTACCAATCTCGTACGAGAACGCTTAACCTCTAGACTACTGTTTAACTTCAAACAATCCACAAAACTGCACCACCGTTCACCATTGTCTTCATTGAGTTACTATCTTACAACAGACTCGGTTGAACTCCACTGGTCACTGCTTCCTGGTACTGAGAGTAGTGTGATGCCTCTGTAGTTCTCACAATTTTCTGAGATTTCCTTTTTTGGTATCTTGATAAGTTGTCCTTCTTTCCAGTCCATCGGCACTTGTTCTTCCTCTCAAATCTTCCTGAACAGAACGTGAAGCATACTTGCAGATTGAAGTTTATTGTTCTTTCATTAGATCCTGTAAAGCTTGGAACTTGTTGAGAGCTGTCCTGACAGACACAATAATTTTATCTACAAGAGAATAAATCTCATTACGGTGGTTATTAGTTTGTCAGCGTCTCAGTAAAATCGATAATGAAAACCTAGTTTATTTTCATTTTCTGTTACTTCAAGAAGTTAATAATTATTAATACGGTATTAATGAATATGATCCTCCAGAGAGTCTTTAACACCTTTATTCCAGTTTATCATCAAGTCCCTAATTCATTTATCATCTTTTTCCTATTCAGTATTTCTGTTATTATTTCACGCTGTAAAAGTTACCTGTGTACCTTTTAAAATGCTGATACTTTAAAACAGTTACCACAAATTTTAATCTACAAAATATCATTTATAATAATCAGAGATGGATGGTGGCTAGCAGTGGAATCCAAGATGCACGTTTCGTTCTATTTGGGACTGGTCAACTGGATGCTCCAAATAGGACGAAATGCGTGTCTTGGATTCCACTGCTAGCCATCATCCATCTCTGTTTATAATGCTTATGATGTAATGCAATATCGAGACAATCCGAACAGGATATACAAATGTCAATAAAAGGCTGATCAATTTCAGTCATAAACATCAATGAGAAGATTAAAATATTTTCCAATCCTACTGATATATCATAATGCATGTCAGGAAGTTTACTAAATAAACAAATAATACTAATACGATTCTTTCCATTTATAAGACTAAATAAAGAAGGAATAAGTATTGCAGCAGAATAACATGAATTCTCTTCAGTTGCTTACAACCATTGTATAAATTGTTAGAAACGGAATGAGTGTACATTATTTATACAACCATCGTCTTGAATAAATGGAGTGAATGTGTGAAAATAGAATGATAGTAAGAGAAAATAAAATATAAAAGAATTAACATTATTCAAATACTTGCTTATTTATATATTAAATAAACAAATATTCTAGAAGGGTATGATACAGAAATAGTTTTCTTAGATCAAAGATAGATTATGTTGTAGTGTCAGTCATTATTTTAAGCCCATATACCTTATTCTCGCTTTCGGACATCCCATTCTATTCATTCTACTTGAACTATACTTTGACCTTGTCAATTATTCGCTTATCGGTCTTGATTGTTTTTATATGAGTGTATATGTGTGTGCCCTTCTTATCCCATTAATCACATGTCTGTAGTTTATTTTGTCTGCCTATAAATATTGAGTAGCGCTTGACTAAAATGGAGTTGGCTTCCCAGTCATCTTCCATATGTGTCATTTTGCTTTGCTATGTTTTATTCGCTTCATATTCAAAATATATGTATTCTCAAGTCAATTCTCGTTATTTGACTTATTGAATTTCGTTATTGACTAACGTGATTTAAGTCGACGATGATATACGAGAAAAGGCGATAACAATCATTCGTACGATCTAAATAGGAGTCAGATCCACGGGCCACTAAAATGTAATATAGATTAATTGAGTGGACTTCAGAAGTAAAAAATTGAAGAGACCAAAAATTTTTTGACTAAAGTTTACAGAGAAAAGTCTTCTGTTATAGTCTCACATAAATTAGGTCACTAGGGTAATACAAACTTTATAACTGTTTCTTTTTCAATAAATAAATTTGGTTTGGTGAATTGTACCAATTTTCATTTTCTTAATTTATTGATTATTTTGATGCGTTCCTACACTTTAACATATATACGTATAGATGGCACGTGGAGAAGGCTATCTGTGAACGTGTTTAGCATTTGTCTAACAAACTACAAAAGATTTTAGGTTAGAATACTATTCAACCGTATACACAGATTATGTTCTGTGGATAGAATTGATGAGGAATTAGTTATGGTTGAACGTCACTTACGCGTAAATTGATCTAGACTTATCTTATTGAATGTTCCCTTTGACTTATTAAAATAATCTAGATAATCATGAAACCTGATATGTTATGGTCTAGCTGTATGGAACTCTTGTTTTAATCGTATAATTCACTGTATCCTAACTGTTTTTTAAATAATCTCAGTTTCCTTATGCTCAAAGAATCTTTAAATCAAGCTCACCATATCTTTAGATTTCACATGAGGAAATAAGATTTTAGTATACGTTGGTTCTGGGGCTTCTGATTATCACTTCACTAAATCTCTGCAAGATTGGGCGTAGTTAGTATTTAACTTCCACACAAAAAACATCAACTGTTGCCGATTTCAATCTCCTTCAAGTAAATTTGATTTAATTAACGCTTAACAACTGGGAGATATTACTTCATTTGTAAGTCAATTTTTTGACTAGGTTATACTGTTGTGTATGTTACTTATGTCGGTCGACATTAATAGTATGTAACACCAATCAAAAGAGGAATGCACGGCAGCAAAAAGCTATGAAGGTCGACTTAAAGAAAACATAAATGGAAATCGAAAGGTATTATGAATTGGAAGAATCATACAGAATGTAAAGGACAATTCATAGAAGTTTTGCAAATGAAATATTTAATCTATGATTCTCATATTTTAACAAGATGTTCTATAAATTTGTCTACAATAATAAATTGGTTGTCCCCACCTGAATATTCATTCACTACAATACGACCATTCCACTCTTTAACTAAATGAATATTCCCAATCATTTATCCAAAGAAGTCTTCAATAGCTAATGTCTATATTCATTCTAGTAATCTATGTATAAACATGTTTAGTAGTTTCAAAATTGGAGAACATTAATTCTTATATTATGAAAATTTCTTCATTATTTACATTCGGGTTACCATGACTCCCATGAAGAAAATTAATTCTGTCAATACATCTATTTGTACTCAAAATCTGATTCGTCAATAATTAACCAATCATATCACTGATCACCGACACTATATTATCCATATTAAAGTATAACTCAATTTGTTTTCTTTTAAATCTTTCAATGATAACAGAACAGAAAATGAAGCTGTTATTTAGATCTATTATCTAGAACTATTTATCAGAATAAACAAATCCTTTTTATATATTCAAGAAGTATAGTTTACTTTATTATACATTGAATATTGAATAGAACCTTATCACTATATGATCATAAATCAAATAGTTACTTCTTTCAATCCGACATATTTTATTTGAAATGTTTTACTGAAACTGTATTGAAATTACCTCATCAGTGGAATATTATTTTTTGTCTCTCAAGAACAAACAAACAAACAAACAACAAAAACAACAAAGAACATTAACTACTGTCCTGACCAACTTCTCAAAATTTTATGCGTAGGTGTTATATGACTGATTTTATTGATTTGTATGTGTGATTTTTCAATCTAACATACATTATTTATTTACTTACTTAGTTACACTTTGTACAAACAATATCATATTCTATGTTAGGATAGGTAGATATATATATATATATAAAACAAGCACAAATGTATGTACATATATGTATATACATGTTATCTGATTGTATATACAATATGTACTATGTATATATGGTATAAATTGCTTATGGTAAGTTACAATATATTTGAAAGAATACATATTAAAGGAAGAAAAAAAGAAGAATGCTTACAATTTGAATAAGACATTCTTGGTTAAAGTTCAAATTAAACTCATCAAAATCATATTTGTTTTGTTTCTATATAAAAATCAGTCAGATAAACAAATGTTAATGGAATCAAAAATTTTGATTTGTTCAATTTCCATGGAGATTTGTTCATTTATACAACTCTAATCAAAGATTAAATGATAGAAACACAGTGATTACTATTTCTTTTTTGTAAATAAATTGAATCATTTATCATCATTGTTGTATGTAAAAAAAAAAATGTCAAATTTATCTGAAGATATAAGTATATCTAAACGACCAAGAATATTTCGTGGTAGAGGTGCTCAACAAAGAAGTGATGTAAAAAAGAAAGCTAGAAGAAATCAAAGTACAGGTGATATTATTCAAAGTGCTAGAGAACCAACTAAAATTGAATCGAAAGATGAAAATGTAAATCCCGGTAAAAAAGTTCGAAGATGGTTACGTTTATTAAAAATGACTAGTATTAGTGCTACAACTGCAATAACATTGGATGGATTAAGAACAGAGAATAATCATTCTTATAATCAACAAACCAGTCAGAATCATCATCATCAGTATCATCATCATTATCCTGATAATTATAATTCACCTCCACAAGAAATGCAATCTTTTCTTGGCAACTTAGGTATTGGAGCTTATGTTGGTGATGAAGAGAATGCATTTGTAAATTCGGACAACTCAGAAGAAATAAATGTTGACCAGTTAAATAAAACAAATAAACCTCTTTCTAAATCAATGATAAATTTATCTTCAGTTAGTTTATGGCCACCTAAACGTAAGACAAGTGATCAAATTAATGAACCAGAAATATTGCTAAATGATGTCAGTGAACATTGTAGCCGTTTATCATCATCTCGTGTTAGTTGTCTATCGAATACTTCGTTGTCATCACCTCAATCAACAACATCGTTTACGCGTTCGCAAAAGAAACCATCTATTTCAGAAATCACAAACTCATCAACATTTGACAGTGGGATGAATCAATTCAATCAAACTGAATTCTATGAATCAATGCCTTTAATACTTAAAACTGTGATAAATCAAACATCATTGTATAATAATATTCATTCTATGCAGCGTTATAATGTTAGTGAAGGATTTGCCTCGAGTAATTTAACACCGAAACTTTCAACAAGTACTATTACTGCGACTAATAGTCACCATCAAAGTGGTGAGAATATTAATGTCAAAAGAGCTATTCATTATCCAGCTTGGATGATTATTAGTGATGAACAATTACAACTGGATACAACTTACTCAGTAAGTATATTATTGGAACTAGTCACTTAATTTGTTAACAATATTTATGTTTGTATGTATGAATGGACTGACATTTGAATCAAGAGTTTCGCTGTTAAGAGAACATAGTTCCAAGGTATTCTCATAAGTCAAATATGATATTATCTATCCCGTTTATCTACCTCAAAAAGTACTTGCAACTATATTGTATGATTTCTTCAATGAATACGTTAGAATAGGCAGTTAGCCCCCTCATCATCATCATCAGTAGTATATATAGGAGTTAAAAATGGTTCGTTAAATCTAATTTCTCATTAGACATAAATAGATTTATTATGATCGTTTCTCAATGTTCGAGTTGAGAGAAGGGAGTAGAAAATGAATTTATCATTGTTTCTAGGATGAATATTTGAAGGTTTTTCATAATTTAAGTGCAAAACTTACACTTTATTGATACAAGATTTTGTGATGAAATCAAAAACTGTAAACTAGTTCTCGTGTTAAACATTTTAGATGGGTTAGCGTAGTACTGATTAACTAATCAGAAAATTAAGTTCATTTCAATCAGATGACAGCATAGACCTTATTTTTTTAATACTTGCTATTCCATTGTTTTTCGTCAATTGCAAATATCAATTAATTTTCATTGCAATGACATGAAAATAGCTGCATTCGTTGATTATAGTCAGATGAAAGTTAAACTGATAAACAAATGGGAAATTTTTTTATTGCCTATGAATGTTTCACCTCATTGGAGACTGGGTGAAATGGCTCAGAATCGATCACAATGGTGTCGGTGTATATACTCTCTGTCTTCCCTTAAACTGAGAGATTAAAATCGCTTCATATCCTTTTTTTATGAACTAATTCTTTCTTTCTGTACTATATCCCTTCATAAAATCTTTCCTTTATATATTACACCATTGAGTTAACTGCTTCTATGAATCTGGTGTTCATCTTGCTGTGCTAATGAGGTGTGACAACTTGGAACGATGCATATATGTGTCTGGTCCTACGTTGTAACTGACTGACTGACTGTTTCACCTTATATCCCCTAATTACTTATGTAAAGTCACAGGATTATGGAATTTGATATAAACGTACATTTAATGCACTACAATAAGCTGTCTAATTTAATTAATGCCTTGAATATGATTAATTGATGGGAGAAATAGATGACAATAAATTTGAGATGGTCAAATAGTGTTATCTTATGTAAGGAGTTGTTTCTTCAGAATAAACAGTTTCAAGTATTATATGAGTTTGTCTATGAAATCTTTAGATTTATAGGAGAATTAAATTTACCAAGTTTAAGATTAAGAATTAAGAAATTAGTGAGCTATATGACTTGAAATCATTCTTGAATTTTTGTCTTGTATACTGGTTTGATTTAACTAAATATCACGCTAAGGATTCTTTGTTTGTTACTCTTTGGTAAGTATCGACGTAGGTTTATTCTTTGGAAACACCACACATCTCTGTCTCATCGACTAAGATGGTTGGGCCACGTGTTACGTATGCTGAACACCGGTTACCACGACGCGCAATACTGACTAGTGTTGGGGATGGTTGGAAGAAAGTTAGGAGCGGCCAAACCAAAACGTGTTAGTAGTGCTTGAAGTCGATAGCTTATAGCCTTAGTCATGTTGTTAAATGCAGACTACTTGGTTGGGATCCGCGTGACTATCGTAATCAATGGTTGAAGACTCTGAGTGACTTGGCTCAGAATCGATCACAATGGCGTGAGTGTATACACTCTTTGTCTTCTTTTAAATTATGAGATCTGTCAGCGGTACTCATTCCCAATCTCATTGATGACCGAAGCCAGGACCTTTGAGTCTCATTACGTTCGGCTAACCTCTAAAACACTAGAACCATTAATGTCAACCCCATCCATAAATACTATTTCGAAAACTTAAACTTTTTCTTTAGCGAGGTTAGGAAGTAATTTTTGTATAAAAGTCAGTGAAATTACTAGAAATATATATTTATGTGTAAGCCTCAAGATGACAAAAATGCAAATTCCATAGTTTATACATTACGGACTGACCGTAACTAAACAACCATTAAAAACCAACGAGTAATGAGAATCTGTTTTTTTACTAATATGAGTCACTTCATGAGTTTAATCACAGATTAAATTCAGTATTTTCAGGTCTCGTAGAGAGTACTTTGTTTCTAATATCAATAAGTTATTATTCAATGGTTCACATGTTCAACTCTAGTCAAGTTGTAATTATGTTCATAAATGCGACTGACAAAAACTTAGAAGTCTTAAGTTTCACCCCTAGTAGTGATATCATAGGTATAGACTGTAATATTTAGTACTAAGAATAAAACAGTTATCTCCGGATTCCAATCTTACATTTTCCTTAGCTACAGTCAATCCATTTCGTAAATTACACAGTGAACAGCCTCAAGAAATGATTAAAAATTTTCTTTTTTGTTTCCACGAATCCAAATACATCAACTTTTGATAACGTTATGTTGAACTGTACTCTGATAGTTTAATCATGATAACTCTTTCTCATTGTTTTAGCCAACACCAATCCATGTATATATTACAATAGAATTGAGATTTCATAAAGTACTATTCCATGAACATTAGATGGATGTTATTTTAAGTTGATTGTTATTTTGACATGATATAAGGTGTTAAAAGACTTAAGGGATAATTTATGTACAACAACATACAACATACTACAATTTCAACATAGTCTGCTACGTATACCAATCATTATATTATGTAAAAATAATAGTTTACTTTTCTATATAGTGATAATAATAAATAACTCATAGTTTACGCACAAAATGGTTATCACTATATGTCGTTACTTATTATAATAAGTAATATGATGACGTATAAAATAGTGTTTGTAATGAATGACAATCTATAATAAGGAATAAAAAATCACTTTAGCTATCACTAACTACTTAAATGAAGGAATTCGTTTGTTTTAATAATTTCTTTTTTGATTTTGTTTCTTTTTACTCATTTCCAAGTGTTTCAATATTAGTTTGTCAATACAAATTCATTGAATTAAGATGTATACACACATAATCGATTAATCACATGAAGTTATATTAGTGTATAGTATTTACACAATACCTTCAACATTATTGATTAATGGAAAAAATTGATCACTTTCTAAATTATTTTTTTCTTGTTCCAAGAAACTAAAAGATTAAGGTCATTATGTATACAATGATAAAATTGTCCTAGTAGTATTTTTCTCTAATTGGTTCTTATTATATTGAGACAATTAATGATATTGTGTTTACTATGTGACATACATAGATTGTAAATGTTCATAACGTTTTTAATGTTTAATCTGGATGTTATATTTAGCATTTTCAGTCACTATTTCATCTTACATAATGAATGAGTACAGTAGATTGGAGCGTAAATTCTTATTAGAGATTTTATTTTAAGCTTTGAATTTCATTGTATTTGTGAATTTCTGTCTGATCAATGTTGAATTTTGTTACACTGACATGTTCATAACGGACAGTTTCAGAAAAGTTCAAGTTTGTTTTATAATGAAATCTTTAATGAAAATTACACTCCAGTATATAGTATTCACACAATAAACGAATGAAGAACAAGATTAAAAGTCCTGGATACAATAAACTTGAAAAAAAATTGAATGTTATGGACAACCTCAATCCATTTATGTAATGTATTCATTGAATGTACTGTCAGCTTCAATTAAACTATATAAATCAATCACCATAATAAAAAGAATCTAGAAATTAACGCTTATTTTCCATTTTTGTCAGCCTTATTCAAAGATTAATATCATTCATCATTTGTTGTACATACAGGTTTGTTATAAAAAAAATACCGTAGCAACTAACCTACAATCCATTTCGATTATGATTAATTTTGGTTAAGCACTTTCTATTAACTTATTTAACAGACAACGTTATACAAACAGTAACAATTCATATATTTCTTTGTACTATTCTGATCACTGCCATGCCTGTATAAACATGTACGCTTGATCACATAACAGCATATGCAAATATCTCTCTCTAGCTTAAGTGCTGATAAATTAAACATTACCCAATCAATCATTTACTTCCCCACGTATATATGTACTCGAATCCTACTAATAGCTTTTGCCTTGCCTTGATTCGATTTGACTATAAATTCGCTTTTGCTTCAAACTCACTGGGTGTGCTCGTAGGTTTGTGATCCGTGCTATCTGCTAATAAACTGTAGTCTCCGCTTTTTTATTGCCTTCTGATTTCAAACACCGTTGGATTTATGTAATGACGGTTATCAGGCGATTGATTAACGAGGCTAAGCCACTACGATACCAACATACATAGTGCTCAGATCTCATGGAATTAAAAAAATAAGATTGTTCATAAAGTGTTTATACTCTTACGAGTATCCAGGATTAAACTTGTTTACACTCATATGACAGTTAATGCAACGGAGTTTCTTCAATATACAATAGAACACTCAATCATTCATTCATTGTTGAACTAATCAGATTTTGTTTTAAGAAAATTTAATCACGAAAAGTCAAATGAAATTTAAAAACTAGTTTTTAACAGTTGAATTCACGAATCGATCTAAGCTAGACAACCATTGAAAACCCGGTAGCAATGGACGGCTATTTCGTCCGAATATAGGACTCCTCAGCAGTGCCCATCCACGATCTTTAACGCCGTAATCGAACCTGGGACCTTCAGTCTGGCATGCGGACGCTTAACCTATAGACTACTGAATCGGTATTCAACGATGCTGATGTCTAACTTCAATCGATCCATGATTTTGCGCAACCCATCATTATTATCCGAAATGGATAACTGTCTCACATTCGACACGGATTGAACTCCACTGATTACTGTGGTGTGCTACTTATATCGATCTAAGTAGTATATGACACTAGTCAGGAATAGAATGTCTGGCAGCAGAAAGTCAAGACTATCGAGAAGGAAAGAACGATAACAGAAAGCAATTAGTATAGAAGTGGAGGATATTTTGCAAATTAAGTATTTACTATATG